CACACACACACACACACACACACACACACACACACACACACACACACACACACACACACGGCCACACACACACTTTCCCGTCATTAAGGGAAAGAGCAAAACACCACAGTATATTTATTCTCGCCAGCATACTCCAAATATACCTGCTGAATCGCTAATGAATATCTAATGATACCAAAATGGTTCATATCATACATTTCGCTTTACGTTTATGTTGTGCACAGGTTTTATTCAACTGCAAAAAAATGCCAAAAAATCGCTTTGCATGATTTTTTTAGAAAATAACATCAACAGGAAATTTAGAGAGACATAAATGGGGGTGATTTTGGCTCAAATTCCAAACCATTTGCGGATATGGTAAAAATCACGCGGTTTGTTTACCAAAGTGAAAAAATAAAATCTTTAGAAATATTTGTATTTTGTTTTTGATTATGGTGAATAGGTCAATCATTTTATCTATAATAGGGATACAATGTCAATATCGCAAAAAAAAAAAAGAAAAGATAGATAAAGTAACAAATAAATGATGATATGAGCATTACTATTGATATTAATTAGAGTCGCATACATTATGGTGACAATAATAATAACTAAATTGACCATTCTTTAGGATAAATAAAAATAACATTTATGATCGTAATAACTGAAGTAAATAATGTTGTAAAAGTGGTCTATAACCTATAGAATATTTCTCTCTGCATTCAAATACATTGTGATAATTATGGTGTTATTTTCACTAATTCAAAAGCTCTTGAGTTCTGAATATGATTTTGATATCATCTTTGGAATGTATCTATCTTATCAATGACAATGCGCAAACCTGATTAGAGAAATCATAGCTCAAAAACAACCTTGCCAAAGAGGGAAAAGAAAAAATTCTAATGACTAATGATGCAATAATTAAATGACAATAATAATGATAATAATAATAATAATAATAATAATAATAATATAATAATATAATAATGATAATAATAATACAATAATAAATATAATAACAAATAATAATAATTAATAATAATAATAATAATAATAATATTAATAATAATAATTAATAATGATATAGTAATAATCATAATAAAAAAATAATAGTGATAATGATAATAATAATAATAATGATGTAATAATCATAATAATAATAAAAGTGATAATGATAATAATGAACAGACACTCATATCCCGCAAATAACAATAATAATTAATTTCATTACCTGTGAAAAGCAAACCATTTTCTGCCACTAACGTGTTTCAACGACCATTTCAACTCTTGTCGCCTGTTTTATGATTCTCACTGCTTCAAAATACCGTTGGCCAGCTGGACCAGAATTGATGCCAACACTGCGGATGTGTATGTTGTCATGCGCTGCGATGCCAACATTCCGGAAGTGTCTGTTGCCATAGTAGATGACATGAGCATTGGGCTGTCTGTTGCCGTGTGCCTCTATGTCAAGAACCCGGAAGTGTCTGTTGGCTTAGGATCTCGATGACATGACAGCAGAGTTGTTTGTTGCCATAGTATATAGATATGACCGTAAAGCTGTCTGTTGCCATGTCTTTCGATGCCAACACCCTGCCAATTGCCATAGTATCTCGATGCCAACACAACGAATCTATCTCTCATACTGCTTCTGTTTCGACACCACGGAGCTGCGTTGCCATAATACCTCGCTCTCGAAACCAAGGAATTTCCCTGTTGTCGCATGTCTCGAAACTGCCTGTTTGTTGCCATACCGGAAGTGCGGAAGTGCCTGTGATCTGTGGCATAGGCTATGTTGGCGCATAGTTGTATGTTTAGTGAACGCGTCTAAACCCTAATTTGTCTAAACCCTAATTTTACAGATATGTATTTGAACCGTATTCATGTTGACAAATGTAGAAAAGGTATGAATGAGAATGAATATCGTCACATTACAAGAGATGTATTTTTGATTTGGTTTTGATGTATTTATGACGAAGATATAATCGAAACCGGTCAAATACATCTCTTGTAGTGTGAAGATATTCATTCTTATTCATACCTTTTCTACAAAATATGTATCTATTCCACCACTCGGGTCTGTCTGTTTGTTTCTGTTTCTTTTTTCGACGTTTTTTTCTTTTTTTTTTTCTTTTTTTTCTGCTTCTTCTTCTTCTACTCTCTCTCTCTCTCTCTCTCCTCTCTCTCTCTCTCTCTCTCTCTCTCTCTCTCTCTCTCTCTCTCTCTCTCTCTCTCTCTCTCTCTCTCTCTCTCATCTCTCTCTCTCTCCAGTATTCTGCTCTGTGACATTACATACACACGAACATAACTAAAACAGTAAACCCACTTTCCACGTCACCTCGAAAAATATAACATGACACCACAGTATATATGTTTGCAAGTATACCTAAATACACCTGCTCAATTAAAAATGAATTAGTGCTATGTAACATCGCTGTTTTCAGGATTGGAAATGTAGCATTTGCAGGGAAGGCTAAGAAAGGGAGATAAGAGAGAAGGGGGGGGGCATTTCCCTCAAATATTATATTTTGCCTAAAGTAATAGATCGATTTCCATAAGATTGTAAATATTATTCACGCACAACCACACACACACACACACACACACACACACACACACACACACACACACACCACACACACACACACACCACATACACACACACACACACACAACACACAAAACACACACACACACACACACACACACACAACACACAACAAATACACACACACACACACACAAACAAACAAACACACACACAGACACAAACAGACAAACACGTAGACACAAACAAACAAACAAATAAACACACAAACGAACAAACAAACACACGAAATTATGTTCAAGTAACCAAGGTGTAATCCAATATTGAACACTGCAATACCCCAATAGGTTTCATCAGAACCCCTAGCGATCGTACATAAAAACAAACCAATAAAAAAATACCGCATAAATGATAAATATTGTAGATTTCAATAATAATGGTGAAAATACCGCTGATGGTG